TTTTTTTTTTTTTTTTTTTTTTTTTCCATGTGTGTAAAAGCTGTCATGGTCACCTTTATAGATTAATCTATATTTTACATCAGACTTTAGCTTCCCACAAACCTATACACAGCTTGAGCTAAAAGGTTTATAAATTATTAAACTGATGGATTATTGTTCTTATTGTTATTGTTATACAAGAAGCAAAAACAAAGTGAAAACTGAGAGTTCATTTTTGAATATAGTTGCTGTGTAATGCTACATTTTGTGCTGCAAAGACAGTTTCTCTGTCTTTTGAAAAAGACCTGTGTCACGTTTGTCAGTCCTGATGTGCACCTCTTCTCTAAAGCCTTTGTCTGTGTGAGCCGCTGTGTGGATGCTGGTGGAGCAGCAGCTGCAGCATAGCTACTGTCTTAGACTAAAAATAGACAGCCTGTCTCAGACACAATGATGTCATCACTGAGCTGGTGAACCACATAACAATCGCCCACCAATGTGGTCGCTTTTTTCAGACAACCTGATCGATCAGAACCAATCAGCTGATAGGATTCACTGAGGTTCTGCTGTGCTGCTTTGTGTGCGTTTATGTTTGCCTGCCTGTGGGTGTCGATTTTTCGATGTGTCCGTGCCTTCACCTCATTATTCCTGCTCCACCCTCTTCTCACTGACAGCTTGCATGTCTTTGTTTTTCACACTAAACACCAGCAGAGGCGTTACTCCACTACCTCTCATCCAGGCTGTCAGTGTTGCATTCAACACACATTACAAAGAGCTGTTCAAATCCACCAAGTTCACATGGTGCCTAATGGCTTTTCTCAGAGTGTGAGCTGTTGAGTTGTGTGACAGTTCTTTGAATAGAGCAAACATGCAATGTGATCTTAGCTGGCACACATCTGGCCTCTGCTATTGTGCTCTGCAATTCCAGATGTTCTACCTTGCACTGAACTCGACAGAGGTCACATACCATCCAAAGGTTTTGCTATAGCCAGTTGTTGATTGGAATGGGATTTCATTTTAGTTTTTTATTAGCAGTTTTTATTTATAACAATGAACAGGCAAAAATTATAACAATTATCAAAACATGTTCCTATTGTTTTCACTGCTAATTAATCAAAAGTCCCAAATGTACATCAATATTTGCCTGAACCTAAGGGCAAACTGTTCATCTACACCGATATTCTTAGCTACAAATTGTGACAGCATAGTTAAAGGGGGGAAAAAGCCTAAACTAAGTAATCAACAGTAAAATACTAAAGATCATTACAGACGGTTTACATTTATCATTTTGAGGCCGCTTAAGTCCAGGTCATTATATTAAACCAAATTTAAAGGGGACAAAATAAAAAGATATCTTTTCATCTGGTTTGTTTCAGCTTTTTGAAACCTGTCTTTTTGACATAAAGATGATTTACACTGTGAAATTTATCAAACAGAGTAACACTGGAAGTGTGACGAACCTGTGTAAATAGTGTAAACACCTACATGAGTCATAATCAAGTCTGAAACCAGAAACTTGGCAGTTATTCAAGTCCATATTTTAAATGTTATCTTCCTTCCCTTTGATCAAAAAGGACAAACCAGAGCACCTGGAGGATGGTTATTTACTTTGTGTCAGATGGAAGATACTTGGCAGCACACACTGCTAATGATAGGAAAAGGTAAAAATCCAATAGGTTGCATTTCTTTCCTTTCCTCTGTATCAAATAAAACTTTATATCCAATAATTAGGTGCTCAGAATTTGTAGGCAGCGGGTAAGGCGAGTAAGGGGGAAGGGCTTTCAGGTAATATACAGTATCAAATTTACTTTGTTTCGTGTTTTATTCCTAAAAATAGATGGGAAGGGCTTAGAGGATTTGCATACAAATGAAGGAGCCTGTTCTGGCTAGCAGTGCTCTGTTTATTAGATTAAAACTATGGAAACCAAGGGAAGTGAATTTCCATGTTGAGAACCATCAGTGTCTCTTTCACTACACTGAGATGTCAGTGGGAGGTTGTGGATAATGATCTATGGCTCCCTGGGCAACAAAAACACCACACACTTTAATACAAAGATTCTATTTCTGTGTTTGTTTGTGTTTTGTTGTTTCACAGTTAAAAACTGTTAAATGTGATCAGATAACTGTGAAAACAGGCCATCAGAAATTTGGTCCAAATGGACTGACATGACAAAGATGGATGAGTGGTGCTGCTAGCACCTTTATTCTGTGAAGAACATTTTCCTACAAACTGTGTTCGCTTTTTCATCAAATACAGAAAATAATACTGTATCATATTTTCCTGCAGATGGATAGGATTTGATAATAAGACACATGACATTGTGTATTCAGTTTGAAACCAGCTTGTGATCATTACAGCCCTGAGCCGATACTTTTGTGTGATGCATTAAGAACAAATTCAAAAAAGCTGAAGCAAACAAGTAAATTCCAGAAAGAAAACCAAAACTTGTCCTCAGAAGACTCACGTTATTTACTATTCCTTCAGCTTTGTTATGTTTCAGAATGTTACAAGAGGAAAAAAGAAACAACTTGTTAATTAGTTTTAACTCCAGCAAATTTCAGTCAGGTCATCTGGACAGTTTCTTTTTTGTTGTTGTTGAGACATTTCGTCCTTCATCCAAAGAACTTCATCAGTCCATCTGTGGATTTTAAGGACACATATTTAATTGGATTTTCGATAACTGGTTCCTGCTTTTTGGATTCAGCTGGTGCTGGTTTTATCTACAATCAAGGAAGTCGTCAGCAGCAAATTTGGACCCGATCACGCTGCTTGCCTTTATGATGGCTTGGTTTCATGTCTTGAGTACCCGGACTCAAATGCTTTGGGCTGAATGGATCAGATCTTGGGGATTTTTACTCAGCCACGTTTCCATTGGTGTGGCCATGTTAATTTGGACATTTCTGAACCGAGTGGACCAAACACAGACTGAAGGTTGATGTCATTAAGTTCTGCCTGTCCCCAAAACAACTGTGTGTTTATCTAAATTTTGGGTGCCTCAGTTGTCCTTGAAGGCCATCTTATCTAAAGTCGCCTGGAGAAAATGTGATCTGACGCTCACCACCCCCTCCCTGAGGAATTTCCAACTGATAACCAGATGAAACCCCACTGAAAAAACTTTGTGTCATCATTTCAGGACTCTGGATTCTTATAGAGGTTATCCTTGGCCATTTTTCGACATACCTCGAGAATGTTTATGGATCTCAGCGGAGGACATTGACTGATTACAGTGACCTCGAGAAAATCTATAAGCGTTGTTGACCGCTCTCGTCTCTGATGCAGAATGTCTACGTAAATATGTGCTTGTTTGTGCGAGGTGTTTTTTCAATATTAGGGGTTTTTCT